GTGGAGACCTCCATAGGGCATGAGTGGCTTGCTGTGTGCACTTTGAAGAAAGAGCTGTCTGGTGCAGGGTTGGTGCCAGGAAGGGAGCCGGGGATGGTGGGTGGGTGGGTGAATCTGAAATTTTTAAAAATCAAAATGTGGGTCCTCAGATTGCTGACGTTTAAGAACTTGTGGCATACACTATCATATAAGCATTATACACCTGGACTCAATTTCAAATGTTGCAGAATTAGGATATTTAAATTGCACTGTGAGCTCTTAATAAGAAATGACTACTTCATTCACTAATTCTGATGGAAGGTATGAGAAGTTCATACTGCCATATCTCCTACCACTCCAGTGAGCAAAGTTTGAATCCTTCCTCCATCAGAAGAACCACTTAGGCTGGAGGAAGTAATCTTTAGCTTAAGATAGGATACATGCCACTGTCTGTATCTAAGTAATCATTAAAGCTGAATTAATATACAGTAGATATTTATTCTCCCAGAGCAGGCTGTTTGTGACTCCAGCACACACACCAGACTCTTCAAAGCACTCTGCTGCTGTGAACTATTCATCTCTAAGATGTTTCGTATCAGAGCTGATTCCTCCCATCAAAAACGAACATGGAAACTCATCTCCGCACTCAAAATCACAGACGCAAATATGCCATATAACAAAACAGCCATGTGAAAAAGAAGCAAACTGAGTACAGTAAATTAATGCAACATGAAATAGAAGCAAGTTAATGTGTAGTGAAAGCACAGTCCAAGCAGTGCTAATGAACTCAAAAATACCTAGATCAGAGTCTAGTTATGAAAAACTGAGCATGTAAATACTGGTGGCATGTTAATATTTCATTTTCTCTTTCATAAAAAAGACTGAAGTACTTCCACCACTATTTAGTCACTGTATGAATGTGGTCGGGTAGTTTATTCAAAAAGAACAACTAAACTGAAATGAGACTTCTTGAGGATTACAAGGGATTTTGAATATGTGCCATCCGACTGCGAGGAGAAAAATGCAGAAGTGTGTTAAGGTATAAACTCCAGGGCTCTTTTTGTAGAAAAAGCCCAGCAGGAACTCATTAGCATAATAGGCCACACCCAACAGCAGGAACTCATTAGCATATTGGGCCACACCCCTGACAGCACAGCTTATTAGCACATTAGGCCGCACCCCCATGTTACCAGAAGTGTGGTTATCCAACCACACCCACCTTTTGTTTGTTATTCTGTTTACCTTGTTTGTTGTCAAAACCCAGGGCTTTTTTGTAGCAGGAACTCCTTTGCATGTTAGGCCACACACCCCTAATGTAGCCAATCCTAATGAGTTTCTGCTGACGGGTGTGGCCTATTATGCTAATGAGTTCCTGCTGGGCGTGGCCAACTTGGGAGCCAGCCGGAACTCCGTTCCTGTGCGTTCCTGCCCAAAAATAGCCCTGAACTAATCCATGTTAAAACATTCATTTTATTTGTTTCATTTACATCCCACCCTTCTCTCCTATGGGGACATAGTGCCTCAAGGACACTTACATTGTTCCCCTCTCCTCCATTTTATTCTCACAGCATCTCTGTGAGGCAGATTAGGCTAGATGGGTGTGACTGGCCCAATGTAACCCAGCATCCTAGTCTGACATTCTAACCACGACACTAAACTGGTTCACATTATCTTCAATTGTCTTCATTCCAACCATATGAACACGACCTTGAGAGCTAGTGGGGTGAAACGATCCAAGTGCCAGATTTGTTCTGGGGAGGCATGGGTTTTAATCGATGGCTACAATGAAGGTCAAGGAAGAATGAGATAAAATTGTGCTTAATGAACGTATGAGTATGTCAAGCTGAGAATACTGGTAGAAGCAGTGATAGCGGTCTGAAAAAACTAGAGGGTATGTGACTAATGTTACGGGCATGCATAGAGGAGGGCACCTGAGGACAAATGTTAGCTATGATCTACTATCACATTTTTATCCTATCTTTCCTCCAAGGAACTCAAGATGGTATACATGGCTCTTGACACTCCCCCCCCCTGTTTTATCCTCACAACCATCTCCTGAGACAGGTTAGGCTGAGAGAGAGGGAATGCCTCAAGGACACTTACAGGGCAAGCCAATGGGCCTAGACTGCTGTACGTAGGATTGTATTCCAAACAAGCGTCATGACTAAATGGGGATTTAAATCTAAATCGTCTAGGTCCTAAATCCAATACTTTAATTACTAGGGCTAGTAATTACCTTTAAAGCCCTAAACGGCTTGGGGCCAGCCAGGTACCTGAAGGATTCCCTCCTCCATTCTGCCCTTCCCAGCAATTAAGATCCTCCCCATAATCCCTGGCTCTCTATGCCCCTGCCTTCAGAGATAAGACCAGTGACAGGGCTTTTTCAGTGGTGGCACCTAGCCTATGTAACATCCTTCCCCTTTAGGTTTGCCCAACTACCCTACTCTCTTTTAGTCAACAGGCCAAATGTTTATTTTTAACTTAGGCTTTTAATTAAAGGGTTGATCTTTTAGCATAATTTTTGTAGTCTGCTTCTAACTTGAAAACTGTTTTATGAGACTGCTTTTAAGCAACTCAATGGTTTCTGCTGTTTCTATGTTCTGCTTGGGCATTTAATTTTAGGTTTTTAATTAACGACTTTTTATGGTGTTTTATGTTTTCATTATGTTTTATTTTGTAAGCCTCCTTTGGCATGTTTTCTGGAGAGGTGGCATACAATTTTTTTAAAAAAAATACTAACTTTCAGAAGGATGCACAGTTTAAAAGGTCTGGGGGCCCTTTCCCCCCCGAGAGATAAACTATGAATTTATTTTAGATTACTATATAAAGAGTGTATATCCAGACTTCTTTGGCTGATTTGAGAAACTATATAGTCACACAGGGATAATTCACGTCATAACGCTTAATTTCTTTTCAGAACTGGCTACTGAATGTGTATATTGACTCCACTGTACTTTTTGACAAGGTGTGAAAGTTCTACCTGAAATGCTGTATCTGTGATCTCCCATTCACACATGCTACTGGTAAGCTACCATTGCACTAACCAAGTGATGAATACACATGTGTGAACCAAGCCACAGTTTCTGGGCCTAAAGACATTTAGAAAGTCAGTTATTTGCTGATCTTTATCATTCAACAGAATTTAATTATTTCAGTGTTACTCAATAACAGGGATGTAATATGGCCAGGAGCTTTGTAGCTATGTGAAACCACATATTTTCTCCATCCCCTCAGGAATGTTATAAATTGGGAATTTGGGAATTTTCAGTCTTCACTCAATTTAGAACTGGAATTATTCCAGATAAATTAAGTTAGGATTATCTAAAGCACAGAACAAAGACATGTTCTTATGTATGTGGCAACAATGGTGGTAGAGTAGTAAAAGGAGATTTTTCCTTGTACACTTGCAGTGCATACCAATGGAAGGTCTAACCAGTCAGAGACTACATTCACTTCAGATGACTCATGACCCAGGGTGAGGAGTTGTTTCAGAGTAAGCTTTTGTTCTTCTTTCCCAACTCACGAGGTTTGAGTATGTATAACTGTATTTGTACACATTAATCCCTAGCTATCCCTGTTGTTTTGAAAAACGACATCTATTCTAGATGATAATCTCTTTAGGGGTAGGGACCTGTCTGCTTTTACATACATGTAAGCCTTGTAAAATATTTATTATTATAATGTTTGCCTGCATAGGTGTTTTTGGTTTAGGAACACTAGAGGGAGGGGACTTTTACATAGGCTGGGCGAGGGGTTTCTTGGCCATAGAGTGTCAAGGATCAAAGCTTTCCAATGTTCACAAAAACATGACGAAGTCATTCAGAAGTGGAGAATTTTTGGATGGAAGAGGTTTGAGTGGAAAAAAGCCAACAGAGACTGAGAAGGATAGTAGGCTATGTTCTGGCATTGGCCTTCGATCCTCAGTGTTTATGGGGTTTCTCCTGCTGTGGCTATAAGGAAAAGCAGTGTCTCAGAGTTTATGAAGATGAGAGACCTCACCAAGTATCCAGCGAGACCTGCCTACAGTTTGTAAGGCAGAGCTCACAGACTAAAAAGACTTTATTAAGTCTGACTTTAGGATTGCTCTGCTCAGTATCCCCACTGTTTTGTTTAAAACTCCCAGTTCTATACCGATTTTTACTTGCCTTTAAATAAAAGCTGTTTGTTTAAGTGCTGTTCAGGTTTGGAATGGGGCATCCACAATTCTCTGACCACTAACTTGACCCTTTTAAGGCTAAAAGGGTTACATATGCAAAGCATGTGATCTTATGCCCCAGCAGCAAAAAAAAATCCCAACAGCAAGTCCCCTTAGAATGTCAGGACCAGAAGGTGATCACCACAAGAGTCTTCTCATCTACTCCCATCAATATCTTCACCCCTTCTTTCTTACTAAAATCAAATTGCCCCAAAAGACAGACAAAAGGACTGATAGTGCGATCTATCCTAAGCAGAGTGACACCCTTCTACATCCACTGAAGTCAAATGGGCTTAGAAGGTGCGTCTCTGCTTAGGACGGCACTGTAACATCTCTTGTGTCAAGCCATTTCTCTAGATCATTATTTATAAAAACCCGACCATATATTGGCATGGGAAAAGGGACGCTTGTCCGTTCGGAGTGATTATAAACGCACACACTCGACTATTCAACCCATCCCAACCCAGAGCCCTTCCCCACTGTTTAATAAAGGAACAACAAAAAGCCCAACCTTCTTGCGCTCCAGGCTTCACGTGTGAACCTTCATCGTGACGCCCCACCCACCAGGGTCTCCTTCACCTCGTGTACACTTTCACGGACACCTCGGCCCTGCCTCTTACAGCCACGGATCTCTTCCACCCCTCGCGGGAGTCTCCCGGCCTTTTATCTAAACCTGCAAGGGACACCCCCGCCAACGTGGTCGCCTCAACCTGTCCCGCAGCACGGCGCAACCCGCTTCGTCTCTCTCTCCCCCCCCCCTTTTCGGAGAGAGCTTTTTGGAAGAACTAGCCAGGCCTTACAGTGGATCTAACAGCTGTAACGTTACCTGCTCGAAGGGGAAAGCGGGGGCGGCCGGCGGCCCCAGACAATCGCGCCCGCTCTCCCAGTGCTCTTGCAGGTCTAACGGCCCAGCCCACAACAGCCAGCAAGTGCCAGCTCTCTGCTCAGCGCCTCACTCTCCCCGTCCGTCCCTCCCAGCCAGGCCTTGCCCAAGCCCAGCCTCAGCGCACAAACACAGAAGCAAGTCACGCCTACCCAGGGAACCTGGGACGTGTAGTCTCGATTTGCGCCGCGTATAGGCAAGGGAGAATCCCCATACCAACTCCGCTTGCCATATACGTGTGCTGAAAAGCAAACAAGTGGTGGAAATCTTTAATGGGATTAACTGAAAATACGATTGTGGGGATAAGACTCAAATGCAAGGCCGTTTTAGTGGGCGCTGGAAAAAGGACAGTCCTCCTGTGGCCTTGACTAATATATTTATTGAC